TAGCATCGAAAACAACTCTGCAATTTGTCTCTTGAATCAGTTTTGGTATAGATAACAAATTTGTTTGAAAATCTGGTACTAAAAGAACCGAAATCTCTTTGTCAGAGAAACAAAACATACCAGAACCTATCACTGAAACATTTGCACCATTGGCATCAGAGACATTACCATGTCCAGGAATAATATTATGAAGTAAACGAGCATCTTTGAACATGTGCGTTGTAGCACCAGAATCAATATCAACAGAGGAGTTTAAAGCAAAGTTACCAGCATCTTTATTCAGAGATTGAAGAAGCTGCTTTAAGCCCTTCAGTTCGTCGTTTGTTAGGTTGATGGTACCTTCGGTCTGGGATGAATCATGTCCAGCCGTAAGTGCAGAGCCCCGACGAGTATTGTCTTTGAATTTGGGTGGCTTCAGATGCGGATTCAGAAGCCAACATCTATCCTTCGTGTGACCGTGTCTCCTGCAATGATCACAGTACAGATTCTTTTGATCTCTCGGAACCACAACAGCCATATTCTGTTTTCTTGTATAGTGTGCGAACTCGTGAGGGCTAGTAAACAGATTTCTTCCACCCTCTTCCCTTTTTATCATCATACAAACTTCTTCAAAAGTGGCAATGTGTTTTGCCGAAGAAGATGATAGACTAAATCGTTGAATGTAGGATTAAGAGTAAGAAGAATAGAAAACACCTTATCTTCTTGTGCCCTTGCCATGATAGTCTTAGGATCTGTTGATGGATGACGAATTTCTTCGAGCTCAGCCCATAACGCACAAAACTCTCCTTGGATTTTGTTGAATGGCTGATCATTCTGCTGTAAGTGAAACAATTTCTTCTTTAGTTCGAAGATGCGACTGATATTTGAGAGATTCCCATAGACGCTTTGTAAGGCATCCCACAGCAATTTGGCGATGTCATTTGAGATAAACGCTTGCAGAATAGTCGGTTCGAGAGAGCCTTGAAGAATGACTAAGACCTAACTATCTGCTTGTTTCCATTTTCTGTCGAAGTCACTTTCACCTTATTGCTGGCGTTGAGCAGTTTGTGCAGGGGTTTCTACTTCAATGGCCACAATCAGTGGGGGAGCCCCTTTGTCAGTGACAATATGATTCCATAAACCTTTGCTGTGGAGAGCCGCAGTGGCAGCTTTGGTCAAGTAAAAGAAGTTTTCTCCGGTTAAAACAATCGGAATAAGCTTTTGCTGAGAATCCATGGGTTTCAGATAGAAGTTCTGGGTAATTTGGAGAGAAAACAGAGATTGTAGATTGGAATTTTTAGATCGTGTGCTCTGATACCATATAGAAAGTTATCAAGTCGAACAATAATCTAAGCAAAGCAGAGAATGAGAAAGGGATTTGATTAGGGGGTGAATTGTTTAGAAAAGAATTCACTTGTATTCCCTATGTCGAATGTATAGAGGAGCTCTCGTATATATGCTTTATACATAAAGAAGAGAAAAGGCAACTATATATTTCTAAAAACAAAGAATGAAATATGGTTTATTCTCTTTGTCGATTAGTATCAGATGATTGGGCAGAGTCTTCGATTATGCCTTATTAGCTGCTTGTGAATCAGAGAGGAGAATCTGAGGTGGCGTGTGTTTGTGATGAGTTGTAGAGGTTTGATTTATTTCTTGATTCGGTCTCTGTTTCCTGTTTGTCTTCGAATTCATTGTCTTCATGTTCTTCAATGGTGACATGTTTCTCAACATTCCCCCCCAAGATTGGTCGACGAAATTCGTGAAGGCCAATCTTGGAAAGGATATTGTTAAGAACATGTGAACTTGTAGCTTTGGTTAGGATATCTGCAAGTTGATCTTGATTCCGAGTATACCTTGGTGCTAACAGTCCTTGTGTAATTTTTTCTCGAATGAAGTGGCAGTCAACCTCGATATGTTTTGTCCGCTCGTGAAATACTGAGTTGGCCGCAATATGCAAGGCTGCTTGATTGTCGCAATGAAGTAGTGTTGGTTCCTCTGACTTTATTCCAAGATCTTCAACTAGTTGTCGTATCCACATTACTTCGCTCGTAGTATTTGCCATGGCTCGATATTCTGCTTCTGCACTTGATCGAGCGACTATGGTCTGTTTCTTGCTTTTCCACGTTACTAGATTGCCTCCGACAAATATACAGTATCCAGTGGTCGACTTCCGATCCGTCCTGTCTCCAGCCCAATCAGCATCGCAATAAGCAACCATCCTTGTATGATTGTTGTTTGTCATCCATACTCCTTTGTTGGGTGTTCCCTTTAAGTATTTGAGAATGCGGTCCACTATTTGCCAAGTCTTGTTCATAGGAGCGTGCATCCATTGGCTAACCTGATGCACAGCAAAACTAATGTCAGGACGCGTAATGATAAGATATATAAGCTTACCTACAACGCGACGATATTGTTCTGGGTTCTCTAGCAATTCCCCCTCGCGTTGATCCTTGAAATGTTCTTCAATCAGTGTCCGAACCGGTTTTGCTCCAAGCTTCCATGTTTCTTGAAGAAGATCCAATGTGTATTTTGTTTGACAGAGAAACAAATCGTTAGAAGTACGAATAACTTCAATACCAAGAAAATATTTTAATTCACCTAAGTCTTTAATATCAAAGACAGAACTGAGATACTTCTTAGTGTTAACAATTCCATCTATGTCATTTCCTGCCTTATTAGCTGCTTGTGAATCAGAGAGGAGAATCTGAGGTGGCGTGTGTTTGTGATGAGTTGTAGAGGTTTGATTTATTTCCTGATTCGGTCTCTGTTTCCTGTTTGTCTTCGAATTCATTGTCTTCATGTTCTTCAATGGTGACATGTTTCTCAACATTCCCCCTCAAGATTGGTCGACGAAATTCGTGAAGGCCAATCTTGGAAAGGATATTGTTAAGAACATGTGAACTTGTAGCTTTGGTTAGGATATATGCAAGTTGATCTTGATTCCGAGTATACCTTGGTGCTAATAGTCCTTGTGTAATTTTTTCTCGAATGAAGTAGCAGTCAACCTCGATATGTTTTGTCCGCTCGTGAAATACTGAGTTGGCCGCAATATGCAAGGCTGCTTGATTGTCGCAATGAAGTAGTGTTGGTTCCTCTGACTTTATTCCAAGATCTTCAAGTAGTTGTCGTATCCACATTACTTCGCTCGTAGTATTTGTCATGGCTCGATATTTTGCTTCTGCACTTGATCGAGCGACTATGGTCTGTTTCTTGCTTTTCCACGTTACTAGATTGCCTCCGACAAATATACAGTATCCAGTGGTCGACTTTCGATCCGTCCTGTCTCCAGCCCAATCAGCATCGCAATAAGCAACCATCCTTGTATGATTGTTGTTTGTCATCCATACTCCTTTGTTGGGTGTTCCCTTTAAGTATTTGAGAATGCGGTCCACTATTTGCCAAGTCTTGTTAGTAGGAGCGTGCATCCATTGGCTAACCTGATGCACAGCAAAACTAATGTCAGGACGCGTAATGATAAGATATATAAGCTTACCTACAACGCGACGATATTGTTCTGGGTTCTCTAGCAATTCTCCCTCGCGTTGATCTTTGAAATGTTCTTCAATCGGTGTCCGAACCGGTTTTGCTCCAAGCTTCCATGTTTCTTGAAGAAGATCCAATGTTTATTTTCTTTGACAGAGAAAAAAATCGTTAGAAGTGCGAATAACTTCAATACCAAGAAAATATTTTAATTTTAATTCACCTAAGTCTTTAATATCAAAGACAGAACTGAAATACTTCTTAGTGTTAACAATTCCATCTATGTCATTTCCTGCTAAAATGATATCATCTACATATACAAGAAGAATGACAATATCGTTAGATGAACGAATAATAAAAAGAGAATGGTCAGAGTCGCTACGAACAAAACCTTTATCCATGAGCGCTACGTAGAGGCGATGATACCAAGCACATGGTGACTGTTTTAAACCATAAATCGCCTTTCGTTGTTTGCAAACCTGTCCATGTCTGATCGGTTTATGATATCCCGGTGGAGGAAGCATAAATATTTCTTCTGTAAGATGTCCTTGAAGAAAGGCGTTCTTCACGTCCATATGCCACAAGTCCCACTTTAGGTTAGTCGCCAAAGATAATATAATACGTACTGTAGATAGAAGTTCTGGGTAATTTGGAGAGAAAACAGAGATTGTAGATCGGATTTTTAGATCGTGTACTCTGATACTATACAGAAAAGTATCAAGTCGAACAATAATCTAAGCAAAGCAGAGAATGAGAAAGGGATTTGATTGGGGGTGAATTGTTTAGAAAAGAATTCACTTGTATTCCCTATGTCGAATGTACAGAGGAGCTCTCGTATATATGCTTTATACATAGAGAAGAGAAAAGACAACTATATATTTCTAAATACAAAGAAGGAAATATGGTTTATTCTCTTTGTCGATTAGTATCAGATGATTGGGCAGAGACTTCGATCATGCCTTATTAGCTGCTTGTGAATCAGAGATGAGAATCTGAGGTGGCGTGTGTTTGTGCTGAGTTGTAGAGGTCTGATTTATTTCCTGATTCGGTCTCTGTTTCCTGTTTGTCTTCGAATTCATTGTCTTCATGTTCTTCAATGGTGATATGTTTCTCAACAATGAGCGGCGAAACGAAGCGGTACGGTGCGGAGGAACTCGAGAACGATGGATATGGCGCGATTATCGGTGGAGTCTGGGCTCCGGGAGAGGATCCGAATGACGACCATAATGGCGTTAAGATGGCTCTGTGAAAACCCTAAGCGATCGACGAGGAGCCATTCTGGTTATGGACACCAGCCACAAATCCAAGCCAACTTCTCAGAGAATTGCTTTGGATTTTGCGCAATAATGTCGCAGAGCTCCGTCAATGCCTCCATCTTTGGAGAGAGAGAGAGAGAAAACCCATAAACTTAGAAAAAAAACTAAAGGAGAATAGAGAACCAGGAAACAGAATCAAAATCTGCGATCATAAAAAAGTGGGTTTCCGTTTTGGTATACAATCATTCATCAACCAAAAATGGCAAATTTATATATTCCCACATATTGATCACGATGATGAAAAAGCTGCCACGCTACGTACGAATCGATAAAAACCACTTACCGATCAAAGAGCTCACACGGTTTGAGCATTTTGCAGAGACCAAGATATGTCAGATAAAGCACACGATCCTTCGCACCAGTGCGATGATTGTTCGAGTGTTTGCAGAAATACTTGAGCTGCTCCAGTGTACAATAGCCCAGATGTTTACCCAGAAGCAAGAACAACCAATTGATTTTCCTCTTCCGCTCACTCATCACTGGAAAGAGTTGTTCTGGTCCATAGAAATGTCGTCTGGACTCTGACTCGCCATTGCTTCGTCTCTTTCCTTCTTTCTCCTCTCTGACTCCCTCTCTGATATTTGAGAGATGAATTTGATTATTTATATATTAATATTACACAACTAGCACGTGACGGAGATTGTTTCTATGGCCTTATAGTTCAATTTTTACACTTTGTACTAGGGTTCCATTAAATAGTTCGATTCGAGAATAATTTATACGGTATTCTAAAATTTATACCAAATTTATACCATATATTATTCGATTCCGGTTTTAGTACGGTTTGTTTTGGTTTTTATTAAAAAAAATTAAATTTTCTTAAGAAAATTTCGGTTTTTCAAAAATTTTATAAAGTTTGGTTCGATTCGATTAGGTTTTATAAAAATATATTGTTCAAAATTTTTGAATGATACGATTAAAAAAAATATCGAGGTTCGTTATGGTTCGGTTCTGATACGTTTATTCCTAAGTTGTACGAAAAAAAATTCATTTCTTTCTCTTAGAACTCATGCAAAATATTAACAATATGTTATAGTTTAGAATTCAAGGAAAATAGAAAATATGTTGAAGGCGTGATGTCTTTTTTGAGGTGACTATGTTTAGGATTTATAATCCGTAATTAACCGATTCAGTTGATATTTATGTTTTGGTTTGTTTATTTATAATTTTTAATTAATCCATTGGTATGCATCATATTAATGTAAGTTGATATTCAGAGTCTCGATTTTGTTTTGGTTTACATATTTATAAGTGTAATCAATTGTCTTCTATGTACGTATAATATTAAGGATGAATATTTATGGTTTATGTAATTTGATTGGTATATATTCCAAATTACAAGTAATTGACTGGTATGCATCATATTAGGGGTGGATATTTAGGGTTTATTGTGTTTTGATTTGCATATTTATAATTTGTAATTAATTGACGTGTATGCATAGTATTAGGATGGTGATTTAGGATTTTATTTGTGTTTTAATTTGTTTATTCATAACTTTTAATTAATCGGTTGGCATGCATGACCCTTGGTATGCATAATATCAGAATCCGTAATTAGGGCTTTGCTAATTATGCTTCGGTCTGTTTATTTATAGTTTTTAATTAGTATGCATAACATTAATAGTGTTATATGTAGAGCCTCGTTTATGCTTTAGTATGCATATTTATAAATGTAAATATATATATATATATTTGGGTTGTATGTTTACAATCTATAATTGATATTTAGGGCTTGTTATCTTTTGGTTTGCATATTTATAATTTCTAATTGATTTATTGATATGCGTAATATAAAGGATGTTCTTGAGGGTCGTGGTTTTGTTTGGGTTTGTGATACCGGAGAAATACCCAAAAGAGAATTGGATGAAAGACGAGCAGTTATCACTGGGCACGTATACTTAAAACCGTGGATTTTTGGGTATCCGATTTTACTGTATTCGTTCGGGATGCGAATAATCATTATATAACGAAGTTTGAAGACGGGTGCGATGAGGTCAAGAATCCAAACTGAGGGTTCGGGTTCAAATTTTTTTAATGATGACGGACACTCATACATGAATAAAATGATCGTTTATATCATTGATATTTTAATATATCATAATAATATCTAAATATATTTTCCAATAAAATTACTAAAATACTTCTAAAATCAATGAAAAATTAATAATTTTCTTAAGTTTTAGCGAGTTTGGATATCTGTCGGGCGTGTATCTATGATTCATACAAACGAAAACGAGATAATATTTTTTAAAAATTCGTAAAAACAAGTGTCTAAAAAAATTAGGATATTGACACGTGTCCAAAATTAATAATATAGAACAGATAAAATTGCAATCTGAAACCAATTCCAATGTGATAATTTACGGATTCAAATTTACCCGTGCAGGTTGCAATTTCTCCGGTGATCTATTAGTCTATTAGAGGTTAACCCACGATTAAACATTCCAAAGCAACAGTGAAAAAGACGAACTTCAATGATCATATTCATACACATTCATCAACCAAAAATGGCAAATTTATATATTCCCACATATTGATCACGATGATGAAAAAGCTGCCACGCTACGTACGAATCGATAAAAACCACTTACCGATCAAAGAGCTCACACGGTTTGAGCATTTTGCAGAGACCAAGATATGTCAGATAAAGCACACGATCCTTCGCACCAGTGCGATGATTGTTCGAGTGTTTGCAGAAATACTTGAGCTGCTCCAGTGTACAATAGCCCAGATGTTTACCCAGAAGCAAGAACAACCAATTGATTTTCCTCTTCCGCTCACTCATCACTGGCTTCACCGCCTTTTCTCGTCCGCATAGCTCACATCTCATCGCCACTGGGTTCATCCATGTCGCCGGAGCTCGCTCCCTCAGGCTCTCCTTGTTCTCTTCGACGAATTTCTCCACCTCCGTGAATTTCTCCCTCAGATCGTAGCTTATTTGGTAAATTTTCTCGCACTGTTTGCACTGTACGTCTCCGGTTATGGCGGTGATCTGCTTCGACTCGAGGTACTCCAAGCTGTGAATTCTCCCTCGTTGATTCGTTGCCCAAAGGTACGGTGGCGGCACCGTTGCCCTCTCCCCCGCCGTTAACTGAGAGTCTGTGGAATTCCGGAGAGGCTTGCCAGCGGAGTTTGTCACCGGATCCCGCGGAAGAGGGAGGAAAGCCGACTGGCAATCATTGCGCGGGGAGAAGACATCGTCCTCCGGCGGCTGCGGAGAAGGGAAGAAAAACGTCAGCAACGGAGATGAAAGTTGTGACGTCATGAAAGGCGGAGGTTGCACGGGAGATGACGCCACTAGGAAGGGTGAAGAAACCATCGGTGGTGGCTGAGATGATGTCATCGGCGGCACAGGACCTAAGCTCAATGAAAGAGAGAGAAACAGTTCATCGTCTCCGTTTTGAACTTCTCCAGCGGCGCCGTTACCGTTACCGGCGCTGTTTGTTATGCTAGTTCTCCGGCGGTTCATCGGGCGATTGTTCTGGTCGATCTGGTGATCTGCGCTGTAACTTCTCCTCCTCCGATTAGATCCCATAGCTCCATTGCCGGACTGGTCCATGTTTTCGGAGAGATGGAAAATTACAGAAATGGCGAGAAAAGCTAGGGCTTAGTTTTGACGAGGAAGACGCCAAAAGGACAAAGACGTCAATGTTTTTCTCGCTTTTTGGCTCGTCATTGTCTCTCACTGTTTGGGAAGCGAGAAAAAGACGGAAAAGTACCGTACGGAGAATCGCAGGAAAATGATGGTGAAAGAGAAAACTCAAAACTGTAATGGCAATCACACACGGTGAGAAAACCTTATGGTAAAATATGGGAAAGTGCGAGAAAACGCCATACATACAGAGATTTAACAGGGAAAATCGCTTCTGTTACTTTCTTCCTCTCGAATCTGATGGATTCTTACCTAAGAGAGCAAAGTTGGTTTTCTGTGCAGAGGAGCGAGAAAGAGAGAGAAACTCGCTAGGGTTTTTGGATCGGCGGAGAATGGTAAGTTTTCAGCGTAGGAAAATGGGTGTTTGAGTAGGGACAACGAGGATGGGACACGTGTGAAACAAAAAGAGGAGAATATTCACAGAGATACCCCTAGATTTTATATTATTTACATATCTATCCCAAAAAATTTTAATATTTGCTATTCTTCCACAATAAATTAATTTCCTCGGAAAAAATATTATAAGTGGCTGAGAAAATTCAAAATAGATGGGCGCTGTTGTAAGGTGCAAAAAAAAAAATCAAAATGTTAGAAAAGTTCACAAATAATTCTAAATTTGTAATGTCCAATAAAATTTTTCAAAATTAGCAAAAACTTAAAAAAAAAGGGAAATTGACAATTTCTCCCAATTGACGACGTGGCACACTGGAATAAGTGTGATGATATTATATATCCACACCTTGCCACATCATCGTATTTAGAAATTTGAAATTTTAAGCATACCAATTTATAAAATGGGTTAATTAAAACAAAACCTAATTAAATCCACAAGAATCCAAGTAAACGGAATCAAAGATAACAGTTGCATATCTTCGACATATTGCTCCAATCCTCCGATTGTTTTGGTTGCAACCGTCATGTAGAAGGCAGAACGAAGATATACAACTGTCATCCCGATGGATTTTAATTCGGTTTAACTCGGTTTTATTTTAATTCGCCGGTTTAATAGCATGGCTAAAATTAAAATTTTTGAACTTGATGACGTGGTAGTGATATACTTCTTTGGAGTTAAAACCAATAAAATTATTATTGATTTGTATGGTAATATTACCAAAATGTTTTTATCAATAAAAATAGAAAACTAAAATAACTAGTATATTTGAGAAGCGTAAAATAAATTTGTTCAATACTTAAAAGTTCAAAGCTAAGCTTTTTCAATTAACAACATTTCACTAACATTAAGTAGAGCTTTTCTTACAAATTGTTTTAACAACATTTCAGTCACAGAATCTTTTTCAACCCAAATTCGAGTTTCTATTTTAAAAAAAGAAATATTCATAATTTTTTTTGATTTTTTTGGGAGATTAGCAAAGTAAACTTTCGAATTATAGGAAAAAAAAATCTCAAAACAAAGAGATTAGGATAAAAGATAGAGATCCTTTATTTCGAATTTTGTTATTTTCCTGATTTATTATTTATGTTTCATTACTTTCAAATTAATCATCTGTCTTAATTTAAGATAAATTAATGAAAAATATCAATTACTCACAGTTTTAATAATTTGTATTTTTCTCAAGCTTTATCTATTGGTCTGAATTACACTAAAAAGCGGCAATAATCCATTTCAAATGTATATAATCATTATTTTTCTTTTTATTATTCTTAGCTATTTAACTAAGTCTCAAGAGTGGTAACAATCCATTTCGAATTATTTTATCTATTGGTCTGAATAAGACTAATTATCATTTTCTTTCTATTATCTCTAAGTTTACCTATAGAATGTTCGGTTATTCTGATTCACGTGTTTAATTTCCATTGGTCTCACTATAGTTCAACATTATTAATACTATAACCACCAATACCAGACTTTGACTGTTTTCATCACATATACATACACTGCTACATATATATATATATATATATATATATATGGTTAATTCATCTATAAATCAATTTGCGATTACAAAGGTAACAGAACCCCAGAGAACACATTCACGCGCAGAGATGTATCTATATATTGCATCTTTTTAAATCATGTTTCCAAAGGCAAACAAAAGAGCCAAAAGACCAATTTATACGAGTCCCTCTTTCTTTCCAAAATTACAAAACGGGCCCCAAGTCCTAAATTGACAATTGTCACCCCCACAACGTCAATGTACTCTCTCTCACTAGGTCGATCGTTAGAAAAGAACTTTGAGAGGTTTTAAAATAACCTAAAACCGACACCATACACCACAAAACATTACTAGGAAACTTTAATTGTGAATAGTGTTGTCAAAATGTGTTGGTTATATTGGTTGATCCTATCCGACATTATAAAATTTGTGTGTTTTAAAATTGGTTTGGTTATTTTTTTATCTAGTTTTTTTTAGGTTTTATATAATAACTTTATCCATCGTTTTTACATTCATTTTGGTTTGATCCATTGTAGTGAGAAAAAAGTTTATTTTTCAAAGAAATTCTCGACTCCTTTGTTTACATTTTTATATTCGATTTTATTTTCGGATTTAAAAAAATCATACACGTTGGGTACTTATATCGAATTCAATTGTGTTATTCAATTTTGGTTAGATAACCGAACCAAAATGCCACCAGCAGGGCCGTCTAATAGGGTGTGCAAGTGGTGGCATGGCACAGGACCCCCAATTTTCTAGGGTCTCATTTTTTCAAAAAAAATTATTTTTAAAATTTGATAATTATATGAGTTTTAAATAAAAAGATAAAATTCATTATAAAAAAATATAAAAAAGTTAAAATCTGATTAAATTACGGTAGATTTATTTTATTTTATAGTAATCTTAAATTTTTTGAAAAATTTAAAACAAAATAAAAATATAATTTGATAACAAATATAAATAATTTTTAATCAATATATATTTTAGAAAAACATTAAACAAATTAGTATATAAGAATATTTCAATCAAAAAAATTATAAACAAAGTTAATTTTAATTTTTCTTATTAGTATATAAGAGTATTCAATAAAAAAATTATAAAATAAGTTAATTTTAATTTATAAATAAATATATATATATATATATATATATCCTTTACATATATTGAACATGGCCTCCTCTAACTTTGAGACGGCCCTGACCACCAGTAAAAGTTAAAACCAACTAACGACATATATAATATCTCAATCCAAACACAAACATGAACACAAACCAGCGGAAGACACCAACTTAAAACAACATCAAACATGACATAGGTTACATATATTAACCCCTTACACAACAGAAAAAGAAAACAAAAAAAGACATTACAAAGGGGAAGCCTTAATATTATTGTTACCATGAAGAAACACACAAACAAACAGACGAGGAAGAGATCTCATCTGCCCTTTAATTAACAACTTTGAGGGGGCAAACCACATTTCTCAGGGAGCTTAGAAGCGAGTCCGAAGTCGATCCCACGAGCAAACGGACTGTTCCTCTTGTTGCAGAGACATGGAACATCAGCACCTTCCAGGGCTTTGCAGCATGGACCCTTTGGGTCTATCGGATCGTCCATCGACGGGTTCGAAGTGCTCACGTACGGCCTGCAAGCGTTCAGACCCGATATCGTCATTCCGCAGATCTTCTGTCCGGTCGTTGCCGTCAGGGTTAGAGCCAAGACTAGGGTAATGACCACGAGTTTAGGGTTTGGTTCCATGACTTGAAAAAAAAATGCTATTGCGAGTGTGTGGCTTTTTGCTCTTTGTATAACCACGAGCTTCTCTTAGGGTTTATATAGAGGAGGCAGAGGGTTATTAAGCTTAGTATACGACATACTCATGTGAGTGATTACAACTAACCAAAACTCTTTTAGCTAATATTATTATTCGTACATAAATTTATGTTATGTCCGATAACATGCACCGACTTTGTAAGATGGTGTCTAATTAATAATTATAATTATAATATATATATATATATATATATATATATATATATATATATATATATGTGTGTGTGTGTGTGTGTGCATATTGTATATGCAACCCCCGTGAGAGTGCAGTCCTATGGACCAATCTTGTCACGGGTTTACTTTGGTTGGTGAAATCAAAAGTTATTTGTGGCTCAGATTTATTTAATATGAATCCATATTATTATTTGCTACTCTACTGACTCTTGGATTGACTCTTGGATGCATTATCCCTTTTTGGCTTTGGATAATGAGATTTCAACTATATAATTTATTTATACAATAAGAAAAATTTAAAAAAAAAAGTAATTTCTCTATACCAATATATGAATAGATAATAGGTTTTTAGGGAAAATTTAATAAAAGTACATCGATTTTTCTATTAAAAAAACGCAGACCACTTAGAAAATACAGAAATATTTTAAAAGTCCAAAATAAATATAACAATTTTAAAAATAGTCACAAATTCATACACAGCAATAACTCCGGCACCGAAAACTCTATGCTGCAATGCCGAAAATCTGACTGTACATGTTACCATACAATAACCATGCCATGCAACTTTACCACACCATTTTGACCAAAAAAAAAAGAAAACTTTACCACACCATCACCATCATGCTAAATCATCATTATAAACGCATATATGTATATGTATATATCAATATATATATGTAAACCCAAATTTGTGTAGTTCAACCGATGAACGAGACGCGAAACGTTTATTCCGTCTCGAGTTCGAACTTTAAGTTTGGGGAGGAAACATATATTTCAAATCATGCGGTTGGCACACGACCTGAGATTAGTTTGGGTCTTGTTTCAAAATATCCGGTTAAAAAAAAATTATATTATATATATATATATATCAATTTTCTCGGATTTCGGTCAAATTAAAGAGTTAATGTTAGTGAACGAGACTATTTTGAAAGTTGGTATATTTATTTGGTACTTTGGATATATATATATATATAAACTTGTGTGTACAAAGACTATTTCTATTTTTTATTTTCCTTTTTAATATATACAAACATTTTCCATTCAAAAAATCCAACTCCATATTCTCTACCTTATAGATAGGTGATAGAAGAAGAATACCCAGCTGGAAAGGGATTTTAGAAATATATATTTCACTTTTCCTTGTTACTTACATTCAAATTTCACCTATTTGATTTTTTTTTTATCTCACTTTGATTAATTTCTGTTAGAATTTAGTATTAGGAATTTTTTAGATTATGGGTTAAATTTCACAAACACAAAAACTTTTGCCATTCAAAACCATTGATTTTTTTTATTTATAAATTATATTGAAACTCGTTATTATATATTTGTAAAAAGAAAAAGGAAAAATGGTTTCGATTTGGGCTGAGGGGTTTAGCCCCAACCAGAATAATTACATATAATGGGCCTAGAAAATATTGAGCCTTTTGGGCCAATTCTCGGCCTCTCGAGCCGACAATCCCCTAATTAGCCAGGGTGAGCGGAATTTATTTCAAATACCTATTTGATAGAGTTTTTATATAATTAAATTAAAAGAAAATATAAACAAAATATAATTTAAAAAGAATTTTTTTATTTTTATAAATAGCATCAAAGTGAGCAAATTAACATATATTAGGATATTAGATATGTAACACCGAGCTCCGTGGATTAAATTGATGTTTGGTATTTTATTGTTTGTAGAATCATATGTATGTCTAACAAAAGATGAATAACAATATCTAATATCTAATTATCAATATTTATATATTCAAATAATTTCAAAATTAATAAAAAATGATTAATACTGATTTATATATAATATTTTGATAACTATAAGGAGAAACAAAATAAAATAAATGCAGGATGGGAAAAGAAAAAAAGGCCACAAATTAACAAAAGCAATTGACCACTTTGTTGTTTGTTCCCTCAGTCTCGTTTTCTTCATTTGACGTTCTCGCGAAGATACCTTTGCCGTTTGGTCTTTCTCTCTCTGCTCCTCCGTTCTTCAGTCATGGAAATCGATTTCAACGAGTACAAGCTCAGGTGCGAGCTTCGTGGCCACGTTGACGACGTAAGATCTCATTGGAATTCTATTCTGCTGTGTGCCTTTCTTATCATATTGATCGATTCTATTCGAGATTTTGAAAAACCCATCTGATAAATCCGAGAGCAATCGCGTATTTCAAACCTGGTGCCTTGCATTTTCGATTCTGGGTGTGGTAGAACTTCGCTTTCCCGGAGTTTTTATCTCGGGATTTGATTGATCACCCGTAGGAGTGCTCCTGTTTTCTGGAAACCCTTTTTTATGAGAACGGAAATGCTATCTGGGTTTTTGGCAATTTGCTATTTATTGGGTATCGTTGTCTAACCTTCCTGTGGTTGTTTATGCGAAGCTTTTCCGCAGCAATGGCATTAGTCTTCATTGCATTATGCAAATCAGGCTTGAAATCAGACGTTTCTGTTTTACTTCTCCAACACCAATATGTATCAATCAATTCGAAAATTGGGGATTATTCCATTTGACAGTTTGCTCTACGTCAGCATCATTGGGTTCGATTTTGAAGTCTTCAGGAGGTTTTTGTATGTTTTCTTTGTGGCTAAATCAGTGTAACCCCGTTAAAGAGTAGGGTTTAGGAAAGTTCATGAAACATGGGTATGAGATTTTTGTGATTCTTGGTTAATTATATGGGTTTCCTTATGCTATTTAACTCACGCGAAAGAATTGCCACAGCTATATGAACATTTTGATGTCATTTCAGTGTAATATAGTGAGATCAGAAACTTTTGGTTTATCTTATCAGGTTCGTGGAATATGTGTGTGTTGTGAAGAAAACATTGCTACTTCTTCGAGGGATAAAACCATAAGGTTTTGGTCGCTTGATCCATCTGATAAGCGGAAGTACACTTCATCTAAAATTCTGTTGGGACATTCAAGTTTCGTGGGGCCCCTGGCATGGATTCCACGGAATGAGGAATACCCCGAAGGCAGACTTGTCTCCGGTAGCATGGATACGTTCGTTTTCGTATGGGACGTGAAAAATGGAGAGAGGATCCAAACATTGAAGGGTCATCAGTTGCAAGTCACTGGTCTTGCTTTGGACAATGGAGACATTGTGTCATCTTCTGTTGATTGGTAAGTTTCCTGTTTCACATAGTCGTCTTACTACTGTTAAGTGACATTTTTTGGCTGCAATTCTGCAAATCAGTAAGTTATGGACTATTATATTATTGCTATACAGAAGCGTCAACTGGTTGACAAGTTTCTTTGAAGTGCAATGACTGTATTGAAGTTCTAATCTTGTTGATATATAAAGGATTACCGTATCAGTTTTTTGAAATACTTTTTGCTCTTGCCATGGTGTAACAGAATTTCCCACTGCATTCTTTTTCTGCAGCACTCTGAGGAGATGGAGAAATGGTCAACAAGTTGAAACCTGGGAGGCACACAAGTCAGCTATTCAGACAGTGATAAAGCTATCATCTGGAGAGCTTGTTTCAGGTCCATCAACTAAAACTCTTATGCTCGTCTCGAACCTTTGTTTCTTGTTCCCTTTTATTTTCTAGATGTTGAACTGTTCCTTGGGTAATCTTGAAGTGCGTTGACTGTGGATTTATTATAAATAAAATCCAACTATCTGATTTCTGATGCTATCGTGTCCAGGTTCAAGCGACACCACCCTCAAACTTTGGAAAGGAAAGACCTGTTCACAAACTTTTGCTGGGCACACAGGTAAAAGTCTGTGTACTTAATTTTGTTATTGTTCTGTTGTTTGGTATGGAGATGCTCTCGCATATTTTTATTACCCAGTCGTTTATATTTCTATTTTGGTCAATAATGAGAAGTTATACATTGAAAATAAAGACAGAATTAGATATAATGTAAAGTGCTAAAACAGTGACCTGCCATCAAGAATTTGCTTTTCCTGGAAACAAAGTATTCGCTGTATGAATATTCTCCTGCTCTTTTGCAATGCAGATACTGTTAGAGGTTTAGCTGAGATGCGTGATTTAGGAGTTCTTTCTGCGTCACATGATGGGTAAGTTTCTTTTACGTCCTACTGGCTTCTGCATAACACATTCCATTGTCAACTGAATCACTCTTCTCCATTAAGCTGTGTCAAAATCCTTATCTATAGTTAGACAAGGTCACAAGTGCTCTCTTGTGTCCTGCATTCCCTCGATGACTTTGGTGATCATGGTATCTATATATTTTGTCTCTCGTACCTATGATGCGTATGTATTTCCTCTATTCAGTCATTTCATGCTTTTTTGTTTCTACAATAGTCATAAATCTCTTTCATATTTTGACAGCTCTGTAAGATTATGGGCACTAAGTGGCGAAGTTCTGATGGAGATGGTTGGTCATTCCTCCATTGTGTATTCAGTTGACTCGCATGCATCTGGACTTATTGTGAGTGGTAGTGAAGATTGTCATGCCAAGATATGGAAAGGTGATATCTGTTATTGAAGTGTCTGGAGAATATAATGTTTATTGTTGCCTTGGTTGCTCTCTAGTCTCCACTTTTAATGTTAGCTAAGTTTTCTTGGGTCTGTTGAAATATTGGAAAACCCCGCCCCTCTCTTGTTTTTTATCTGATCCATACTATCTTTGATTGTATAGAACATCATGACATATTGTTCATCAGACGTTTGCAATAGATGTATTATCCCATTGTTTTCGTCTGGAAATTCATATATAGTTTACCTTGTTGTTGGCAATGACTGAATCAGGCTCTGAAATGTCAAAACATTCATTCTGAGGTAGTGCTTTTGCAAAGATAATTGTGTTCAATTTATGATTGATTTCAATAGTAACAAAAAAACTAATATTCGTATTTAAAGCGTGTCTATTTGTTCATAAGTTGTTAGGTTGGTCTTACTTTGTCGCCTTTGTCTGATGCAGATGGAGCCTGTGTTCAGAGTTTAGAGCATCCAGGCTGTGTCTGGGATGCCAAGTTCTTGGAGAATGGGGACATTGTGACGGCATGTTCTGATGGAGTGGTTCGTGTTTGGACGGTACGCCATGACATGATTGCAGATCAAGTGGAGATTGATGCCTATGCTTCCCAACTTTCTCAGTACAAATTGAGCAGGTAGTCCGATCCTTTATTGTAATGTCAACCCTTCAAGATGTTTTAACATGGCAAAGATGTTTTTTTTTTTAAATCTCTGTGCGTCTGCTTATGGTTTCTGATTCTGTATCTTCTATGATGTCATATAACTCAGAAACGTATTTGTATCTTTCTTTGTGCCAGGAAAAGGGTTGGTGGATTGAAACTTGATGAATTGCCAGGGCTTGATTCTTTGAGGTTACCAGGTGCACTTTTAACTTAATAGTCTGGATCGAAGTTCACCATTCCAGACAAATCTGAGAAAACACTTACGCTTAGAGTTTATATAATTCACTTGTGAAAATAGTTGTGATAATTGAAACTGTTTGGTTTATCGAAATTTCAATTGGTTACATCTGTCATCATTGTTGCAACATCTTTCTAACATTTGATATATTTTGCTCAGGTACCAGTGACGGTCAGACGAAAATTGTTAGAGAAGGAGACAATGGTGTTGCATACGCATGGAATTTGAAAGAACAAAGATGGGACAAAGTGAGTTAAAACAACACTGATATTTTTTTAAATGCTTATTTATGTCATTCTTGTCTTTTGGCTTCGATGCTGCTTTATTCTACAATTTGGTCATCTTTTCGAAATAATTATATCATAAGGCATTTTATCTTTTTGGTTGGAAAGAAGTGGAATTAGGCAAGTTTTCCTTAAATATTTGATAGTATGTTAATGGCCTCACACTGGCCTTATGTTGCACTAGAGGGATTTGTGCGTACTGACTGCATGCTTTATTTCAGATTGGTGAGGTTGTAGATGGCCCAGATGGTGCCGATCGGCCCATTTTCGACGGAGTTCAATATGATTATGGTTAGAGTTCAATTTCATGAAACATTGGAGTCTTTAAAGGCTGGATTAAAACAAATTCTTATCCACTTTATCTTGTTTCCAGTTTTCGATGTCGACATTGGTGATGGGGAACCCACACGGAAGCTACCTTATAACCGATCAGGTTACTCTACTGTCTAGTTGTCGATTTCTCGAATGCAAGTTCACTAACAAGAAGTGCGTCAGTTTATGTTTTAACATGTTTTCTTGCTTGGCAGACAATCCGTACGATGCAGCTGACAGGTGGCTCCTGAAAGAAAATCTTCCTCTTTCATTCCGCCAACAAATTGTAGAATTTATACTACAAAATACTGGGCAGAAGGACTTCAATTTTAATCCATCTTTCAGTGATCCTTTTACTGGTGGTAAGCAACTTATTTCAATGAAATGAGTCAACCGGTAATTTTTCCGAGGAACTAGGTTAATTTTCTGCTGGTATTGTCTCTTTCTCTCCACAGCAAATGCATATGTACCTGGACAAACATCTTTCACATCTGGTATGAATACAATTCCTGTGTTGCTTTGTCTTATAGCTTCGATTTTGATAAGAATTTCTGTACTATGTTTTTCTTTTTCTTTTTCCTTTACTGTTCTTCTTTTCTTTCTGACCCCATTTTTCTTCTGTTTGGTTTATACGCCGTAATTGTTGTTGATGATGCAGCAACTCCGGCTAAACCTTCATACAAGCATATCCCCAAAGTATGTTCTATCTACGTATATTTGTATTGACAACAGTTCCCTTATATTATCTTCCTTCTGTTCCTGCTTCATGTTATCATTGATGTAATAGATGATTTCTAATTACTGATCTTTTTTTTTTACGTTGTTTTCCCAGAAAGGTGTGCTAGTCTTTGATGTAGCTCAGTATGATGGGATTCTGAAGAAGATAACTGAATTCAACAATTCTTTACAATCTGACCCGGTAAATCCTCGGTGTCTACTTAGTGGTTGCATAAGCAACCATTATATGATATGTAGTCTCTTTCACAATTTTTGCAACACGGACAAAATCTGTCATCCTTGGTTACCATTTTAGTTCTGCAAGCTGTGAATATTTTTGCTACAAACAATAATCTTGTAGATAGATTTTTTGATTGTTCTGGTACCTTTGGGTACTTCTTTTCCATCTTTTTGAAGGTAAATACCGATAAGTCCATGACGGAGGTTGAAATATCCAGAGTAGTTGCTGTAGTTAAAATCCTCAAGGACACATCACACTATCACTCGAGCAACTTTGAGGACATGGATATCGCTTTGCTCCTCAAATTGCTACAGAAGTGGCCTCCAGCAATGATGTTTCCTGGTTGGTATATTCTTTCTTTATCAACCATTTGTCATTTCTTAATATATATATATATATAGTTACCTAATTGAATTACTAGATATATAGCAAAGAGTTTCTCTCCGTTGTGGAGCCTAATAAATTCCAGTTGATATCAAGGTATATCGTTTGCGACCTGTTTTGGCTTTCTTGGATTATCTGTTTTCTTTTCATCTCATGCACCCTCTCTATTTAGCCCTTTTTATACGTGGAATATATATATATATATATATATATATATATATATATTATAT